TGCGAAGGAAAGGCTTTTTTTTTTTTTCCGGTAAGATTTTTCATCCTTTTTACAAATAGTTAAACACTGCTTTACCTTTTTTTCCTCCTCTCCCAAGAGATGCTGGAAGGCTGCAAGGGAAACGGGCCACCTTAAACCCTGCACAGCCAGCGCCAAACACAGGAGAGATCCTGGATAACTCACAGAACTCTCACCCATTTCTTAACAATGGCCTGTGATGTTTGCTTAGTACCCTTGGGAGCACAGCGCAGCTCCTGCTGCCTGCAGCATCAAGGAGGACTGCTGATAACTTTATCTTGGGGATAAGGACTGTCCAAACCAGAGTGGTTTGTAGCAGACCCAAAGCTGCAGTTTTAGCAAACTCCTCAGATGAATTGGAGCACAGGGCTGTTGGTCTTTCCTGACACCAGCTTTGACAGAACTACCTATGGAGAGAGCTCCTCATCAAGATTTCTGTGAAACATAACACATCAGATACAACCAGATAACAGTGTTACTACTTTACTGTCCTTATGTCCTTCCTGACAGCATGCCAGTGTTGTGCAGAAACCTTCTGAAATGCCACGTGAGGTGCTATGAAACCTTATCATGGACTTTTGTAATACTGTGTTCATTCACCAGTGTTTGACACCCACAAGCTTTTATTTTCCAAAGGCAATTCTCTCTGCCTCGTGTTACGTGTGGGGATTCATGAAGCAGTGTTACCACATCTGAGCTGTAGCCTCCATGATTCTTTTTTCTTTTGCCTCTAAGAGAGTTCCATAAAACTCATACAAAGACCACACGTGCACACAGGAGGCAGAGAAAGGCTGAACAAAGTCTTGCTGCAGATCTGAAGTGCCTGACCCTTCCCACACCCTTCTCTCTCAGTGTAAGTCAGAAATCCTGTGTTCAGTATGGCTGAAGTTTGCCCTGTGCTTCATTGCCCTTGTCTCTAGGCTGTTGTGCTGTGTACTTACCTGGAGATAGGAAGCATTGATCTGCGGGACCGGTCTGTGATTGAACTGGGAGCTGGAACTGGATTGCTGGGAATTGTGGCCACGTTATTAGGTAAGGGCTTTTCTGATTGCTTGTTTAAAGCCGTTTACAACTGTAGTAAAACTAGCACCTTTCCATCTCCATGCCTGCCATAGGAGTTAGCACCACAGCTACACACATGAGCTGTGATGTTCCCTGTGTGAGTCATCCTCCTTTCCTGTGAGACTTCAGAGCTCGGGGTGCTATGTACTGCAGCCCTGGTGCCACTGCAGCTCCCTGTGTGGTGGGGCCGTGCGAAGGCTGATGCCTGTTACCATGGCACTCGGCTCAGCAGCGCTCAGCTCTGCAGCTCTTCTCCCCCAGGGAGCAAGTGCTCTGCTCACCGTCTTCCACTTCTCTGTGCAGCACAGAGAAACCACTCTCTGGGCTTGCCTAAGCCTTGCTAGTTTGTTTCCTTGTTCCCTGCAGACAGGGAAACCACGGGCTGGAGAAGTGATTTGCTTGTGATCTGTCTGTGGCTGGAGCAACCGTGTTAAATTCATGCTGGCTGTCCCAGGTTAACTTTGTAATTCAGCACTCCAGTGCCTGTGGAAGGTGCCTACTGAAATAATGAAAACAAAACACTCATGCCATGCAAAATCACAGGCATAACTTTTGTCTGACCTGTGAAAGAGGCTCTCTAGCTGCCTCCCTCCTACCAAACAAGTATGGAATGGTTAATTGCAACAATCCCTGTAACTTATTCTGTTGTCATCTGTGGAAAGGCAGAAAATAACTCATCTACTTCCAGGCACTAAGAAAAAGCTCCAGAAAACACCTTTTGTTCCCTACTCAACCTTCATGTGGAGTACAGTTTGTATTCTGAAGGGAAGGGCAGGAGGTATGTAGATAGAGGCCTTTTTGTTTGCTTTGTTGTTTTGTTTGTTTGTTTTTCATCAGGCAGCTCAGGGAAGTTGTTAATGTTTAACAGGAACTAAGGAGCCTGCTTGACTTAGAGCACTGTATGCCAAACGATGTTTTTATGGCCGTGGACTGTTTGTCTGAGAGGTGTGCTGCTGTGTGTGCTGCTTAGGTGCTCGTGTCACCATCACAGACAGAGCTGCAGCCCTTGAGTTCCTGGAGTCAAACGTGCAGGCCAACTTACCTGCTGAGCTGCGCCCCAGGGCCGTGGTGAAGGAGCTGACCTGGGGAAGAGACCTGGGGAACTTCACTCCGGGGGCATTCGACTTCATCCTGGGTGCAGACATCGTTTACCTGGAGGAAACGTTTGCAGAGCTGCTCCAGACCCTGGAGCACCTGTGCTCAGAGCAAGCTGTGATTCTTCTGTCCTGCCGGCTCCGCTACGAGCGGGATCACCGGTTCCTGAGGATGCTGAGGAGCCGTTTCTCCGTCCACGAGGTCCACTATGATTCCAGTAAGGATGTGCACATCTACAAAGCACAGAGGGGCAGTCCCAAGGATGACTTTTGACTCTGTGCTTTGTTAGCAAACTCCAGATGCTGTTGAATCCTGCCCTTGTTTCTAGTCAATACACTTGTTCCTGAGCATATAATTGCAGTTGTGTTATCTCACTGGCTGCTTGTCCTGTTGGTCTTGTCTGCTCAGTCAGATACAGCAGGGATTGGGCTTCTGCATATTGAACCTCTGCTTCATTCTTCAGTAGAGTTGTATAGGGTCTTCCACTGACTTTTTATCCAATGTAATTTTTGAAACTGATTTAAGTTGCAGAAATCTCCAGGCATCAAAAATTTCATTAAAAGATGTGTTGTTTAAAATCAAACCACACTTAATTTCTGTGGGAAACTTAGAAATAGAGTGGGTTTTTTTTCCCTTAGCACTACCTTAACTCTAGAGAAGTAAAAGTGTATGATATATATGCTAAGACTCCAGCTCTAAATGCTTTAGCCCTTCAGACCTCCTCCATCTCAAACACTATGGTAAAAGAAGACACTTAAAGGGCAATACCAACAAAAGCATCTGCAATAAAGTTGTTGTATTGCTGTCACTGCTGAACTGTAGAGGTGTAGGGGAACAAAGAACAAGATCTCGGGGTGGGGGCAGTGGGTTAGGAATCAATATTGCAGAGTAAGCCACCTTAGAACTCAGTGGTGTTCTACCTGACTTGCAAGTGTGGGGGCTACTCCTGCAGGACCAAAGCAATCAGGGGTCTTGGGGTGTCCCTAACGAGGTGACCTTCCCTCACTCAGATCAAGGCTCCTGGGAGCAGTTACACATGCACACATGCCAGCGGGGAAACTGAAACAAGGAGACTCAAACTGTTCTTGAAGTATCAAATCAGCCCTTGACTCTCAAAGTACTGCTAAATAATGCTGTTCTTTCTGCCTTTGTTTGGGGCTTACTCTGTCTCTGAGAGTTGTTGTTTAGGAGAGGAGGGTGCTGCTGTAAAGTCCTTGTGCCTTGGGGGAGTGCTTATTCTATTACTGGGGTCCTTGGGGCAGTGTCTGGATTTTTCCATGGCTTCTGTGCACACTGGTAGACACTAAGTAACTGATTTCATACCTTGAGCTTGTAAAAACATCTCTGTGTGTTTATCCCAGAAGATCCCACATGAAAAATGCTGCAGCCTGGAACCTGGCTCACACCAGCAGCAGGCTTCCTTCTCTTTCTAGTGGTGGAAGAATGAAACTGGTGAAAACAATGGGCTAACAGAAGATGGCTACAGTACTGAATGCAGGATTTACTGGAGTACTTTGTTGGGTGGGTGTGGAACCTTTTTTTCCCCCTTTAAACTTAACTTACAAAGCCCTAGGCGAGGTCCAGGCTTGATGCATGTGCATGTCTTTGGCACTGGCAGCAGCAAACACCAGCAGCTGCTCCAGGCCGTGGATGTTACCAGTTCTTTATCACTTATGTTTCCATCAAACTTCCTAACAGGAAAACATTATGCAGAGGTTCTGTGTTCCAGAAGTGATGTGCAGACCATAATCTGGAAATGACACATTTCTCACTGCTGCTCCCGTGAGTGAGCTCTGAAGCTCTTGTGCTTCATCCCTGGTGCATGTCTTATGTGTTTTCAGCTGAGTTCCTTGCTTGGCTCTGGGCTGGGCCTGAGAGTTGCTGCTCTGAACCACTTGCTTACAACACTATCCTCGGGAGCCACATGGTGTCACTAAAACAGCACTTACACAGCTGGCTGGGAATCTGCCTCTGAAACTAGAAATAAAGTCCCTTCGAGGGAAGGAAGGGACACATCAGCTTTAATTAAAAACAGAACATGATATGGGCTTTAATGTGCTAGACGTGGCTTCTTCTCTCCTATCAACTGGGTGGGAGCAACGGTTGGAAAAAATGATGAGCTCTCCCCACTGAAAAACTGCTTCTAGTTTTTGGAGTGTGGCTGTTCTCACCACTCCCCTTCCTTTCCTCTGCATGGGGGTTTCCTTCTGAGCAGGTCTGTGGTCACTGCCTGTCAGGCTGCCCCGGGCTGGAGCTGGGGCTTGTGAGCACTCATGACTTGGTCTGTGGGGGGTGCCTGCTACCTGGCTCTGCTTGGCCCCCCCAGGAGGCTGTAGCCTCTAGTAGAGAGCCTCAGCAGCTTATTGCCATAGTAGGAAGATGCTTTACAAGTTTGCTTAAATAGCACAGAATAAACCTCAGTAAAGTACAGAATAAAGGCCTGTGCATCAACCTACACACACTTAAAGAAGGGAGCTTTGCTCTGGGCCTTGCTTTGATGATAACCCAAGTTTTGTACTTTTTAAATAAATCAGTTTAATTGCAACCCTAGTTGTTCAGCAGCTTTCTGTGTGTTTCTCCATTGCCTTCCTGCGAGGGCAGGCGTGTGCCAGAAGAGAACCAGGGCTGGCCTCTGGCTGCAGTGCTCCTGCAGCCTGAAGGCTGGAGCAATGCCACTGTCCCCAGGTCCATGTGGGGAAGCATGAGCTGACACCAGCACTGTGGGCAAGGGCCTTGCCCCTGACCTGCTGAGCTCAGCTCTTGGTGGCCCCTCCCCAGCTAGCAAGAGGCACCTTCTCAAGGGGACACCTTCTCTGACTGCTGCAGGGGTACAGCTGCTCCTTTGGATGTAGGAGAGCAGCCCCAGGAATGCTGCAGTTAGCCCAGCACCACAAACATTACTTCTCGCTGCTTTTTAAGCTGCAGTGTTTAGGGGCAGGCACCAACCACGAGAATGTAACTGAGCTGAAACCTACAGCCCACTCTGGCTGGGCAGGGCTGACAGCCACTCAGTGCCTTCTCCTGCTCCACCTTGGGCTTCACAGCTCCTTTATATTCTCTTCACTTAGTTTCAGGGAGATGTCGGGAGTGAAGGACGCCAGAGGTGCAGGATGAGTGGCAGAGGAGTAACTGCCCAGGGAGTGAGCACACCAAGAGCAATGACACCTGCAAGCTCTGCCCCTCACCAACTGCTCCAAGGTGAGCTTCTGCTCTAGCACGAGATGCAGAATGGTAACGATTCAGTGGCTGTCTGGCAATTAAGCTAACACCCTGCCCAAGCACCTCCTGTCACCCTGCTCATCCAAGCACTAGAGAAGCCAGTGGGGTTCTCCTCTGCATGGTTCCATTGCATTGCTCCTGTTTTGTCAGAGGTGCTATGAACCCCTTTGTGGGGAGGGTGTGCTTGGGCATGGGCCCCTGAGCAGTGGGGCAATGCATAAATAGTCTTTTGAAAAATAAAATACTCACCCCAGGGAGAGGATCTAAGTGACATGGAAGCCACCAGGTAAGGTGTGAACATGCTGTGAATGGTGAGGACATCCCTGAAACGTTCCTTCTGCAAGGGACAAACCTCTCAAATGTCACTGCAACTCGAGTCACGTTTGATTAATGTTGACACAGAATATGAAACTCAGCCCTGTATCTTGAGGACAAAGAGCTTCAAGGTACAGTGGTGTCAGAAGAACAGGGTTTACCAGCTGACCTACTGACTGCACAGGGAGTATTTCAGCCCCTCAGTCCTGTGGTACATTTTTCTGAGCAAGTACATGAATGGCATTATGAAAAAGCTCAGCTGTGAAAACCACAAAATCCTTGTCATAATGATCTGACCTTACTGCCTCCCCTTGATGTCACTGGAGGTGTGTTTACCTCGGTGCTGAATTGGTTCCTCTGGCTTTCGTCCCAGTGTTTGGATCCAGCCTTGCAGATTACATAATGGGGCTGTGATTCTCACAGTGTTTGCTGCCTTCTGTTCTCTCTGTTATTAACATCAGCAGTACATGGGTTACAGGAATGCTCAGCAGTGGGAAAGACAGCATATTTTCACTGTGAAAGGGAAAAATCTCCCACACATCATTACAAAATTGACCTAATTGCCACCAGAATGGATACTGGAGAGCAGGCTTAAAATTACCAGAAGTGGAAGAGAAAATTTGTTTTCCAGGACTTAACATATCAGTAATCAAATTTAATTAAGATTTTAAAAGCCTTCCCTTTGGGGAAAATACCTCATGAATACTTACACACGTCACATGAGGCCACAGATCATGAGAGGACATCATACTCTGCTTAAAATACACCTTTCCCCATTTTCTTATCTACCTACCACTTGCCACTAATTTAGTCTAAATGGAACATCCTGCTCAAAAAAGAGACTTTGTAGAGGTTTTTTTAAAGCATGTTTATGTGACTGCACATAAATGTTTGTGTAAAAAGGGAGTTATGACAGTTTATACCACAAAGGTTACAGTAAGAAAAAGCACTTCTTTATGACAATAATTCACAAATTCACAAGGATCACTTTAATATACAAAGCAATTGCTACCATTCTGAAACACAAAGCAGCTAATATGTACATAGTGTTAATAAAATGCATTATAACCCAGTACAATTTTTTTTTAAAAACAGATAAAGCACAAAAAAAAAAAAAAGTAAAAAAAAAAACCAAAAAAACAAACAACCAAAAACACAACAGGGATTTTTCTAGATTTTTGGGGAGATGTAAATAAGAATTTATTTTCCTCCAATAATGGATTTTCCTTTAGTCTTTTAACTTCCACAAGTGTGTGGGAGTCGAGCTCAAATACCCTGTTCTGTGCTGACATGGTTTGGGGAAACAATCAGAAATGGAGGTGAGGTGAACTTACTCTTTCCAGCTTACATTACAAAGGGAGAATAATGACCCTTGCTCTGGAAGCTTCCCTGAAAAACCCTGTTCCAAAATAATTTCAAATCATAAATCCAGAGTAGAAACAACTCTTTTTAGAAGTGAACAACCAATCTGTGAACAAGTCTGTGGAGGGGTTGGCTGCCAACAAGCACCTCTTGCCTTGTTCCCCATTCCATCCCTAGAAATCCATATAAGCAGCACAGTTTCAAATTTCATACACACTTGAAGTCCTAACTTTTTAAAATTCGTGTTTTAATATAAATAAATGTCATTACACACATAAAAAATGGAGTGGCACCTGGATAAAACACAGCTTGTGGAGAGCATCCAAACATCCTTAGTTCTTAGGAGTGGCAGTTTCCAGACAACTAACTGGCTCAAGGTCTTGCTTCCCCACCCCCTCACTCAGCTGTGCCCTAACTTTGAGAAGAACATGTAGCTGAGGCTGAGACCAAGTGAACCAACTGCTCCCAGGGCTCCAGGACTGCAGTAAGTGGCCAGCTTCTGAAGTGCCCCAAGCGTGGCTCATGCCCAGCCTGGCCCCTGCCCTGCCAGCACGCAGCTCCCAGGGACAGCTGACTTCTCCTGCCTCTCCCTGCTGAAAGTGAGACCTCAACTCACCACTCACACACCCAGTCACAAACTGTACTTGCAACAGGTCACTGGCTTCACTTTGTGCTATGCAAAGCAGCCTCAGCACGTCTCTTTGCAGGCCAGAGCTTAAAATACATTTAAGAAACATTCCAAGGCAAAACACATGAAATACAAACACTCTTCACCAACTGGATCTAGTCTCTTTTCCCCACAGATGTATAGCTTGAAGCCACATCCATCCCCAGACCTGAACCTGTCACAAGCACACAGACAGGATTTCAGCACCCTGCTTCTCTTCACCAGGCTGGCTCCTCCCAGACCAACAAAGCTTCATGATACACTCAGGTTTCCCCAAAACCCAGTGCCTTTTACAGCTAGCAAATCCAAAAGCTCAGGGAAGCCAGTTTCCAGGCACAGTACAGAGAACCACCAATGTACTGTAGGTGTGTCAAACCTGCTCACAGTGACAGATTCCAGGGTTATAGCTAAATGATCACTGCTCCTGCAGAAGAAAGGTGTTTGTGCTTTATCTTTCAAAGCAGGGTGACGCCTTGTCAATGTACCTTTACTTCCTGGGGTCAGAGAACTGGAAAGCCTCCTGATTTATTTTCTTGGAATGCAGCCTGTAAAACCTGCAGCCAAACCTCAAATTACAAAAAGGGGAACGAAGCAGCTGAACAATAGTTTAGCTTTCCTTCCAAATTAACCTCCCTTTCCCACTTGAGATCACTGAACTAGTTCTACTCTAAAAATAGTTTCACATCCATCCCGTCCGTACTGCTCTGAGACAGCACACAGATTAATCCCTCTCAGTCTTCAGCACTGCCAGGAAGATCTCCTGCCATCCTGAAGCAACGCCTGCTGCAGCCATGTGCTGATCAGCAAGTTCAGTTTGTGAGGGAGTCAACTGCTGTGGAGCAAGGAGTGGATTGTGTGCAACCAGCAGGACTGCACTTGTGCCAGGAAGCTTCTCAAGCAAACCCAATTGCTCTTAATGGTTTTTTTTTTGTTCAGTGTTTTTTTTTTTTTTTTTTTTAAAAAAAAAAAGTGCACATTTTACTTAAACATTTATGAAGAATATAGTGTAACAAAAATAAATACGTGACCTTTTGGTTAGCTCATTGGCAAAGGTTACATCACTAACCAGCTTCAGGGTGAAAAAATGACAATAAACCCAGGATCTTAGAAAAACACTGAAATCCTCTACGAATTGTCAACGATTTGCAACCACTGATATTGACCTTGCTTTAATGGGGAGACTGATCTTTACTTTAACCCACAAAAAGCACTGGCTGGCTGTCATAAATTAAAAAAACATAAAATAAAAAAGCAGAGGCCAGTTTTCACTAACAGATGATTTGCAGCTGCAGTCTACTGGAAGCCCAGATTTAAAAAAAAAACCCCTGTGGTACAAATTTAGATCAGAAACTATCAGGGCTGTTTTTCCTTAATAAATCTAACTTATTTTTTTTTTCCTGAGCCTCGTAATGATTCCAAACACTCCATCAATTTTCTGATCAATGTACAAGTACCAGAGAGGACAGCAGTCTACAATGCAAACATCAACTACAGAACAGCCAGAACCTACAGGTGTCTGTAGGGTCCTGACAAGCAAGACAGGCTAAAATTGTGCTTTCACCTACAAGCAACGGTGCTGGCAACTACCCAATTCTGGTGAAATCTTTGCTTTTAAATAAAAACCCATCGCCAGTACCCCAGGAGGAAAAGAGAAGTCTTATCAGTGGTTCCTGTAGAGAATATCACCTTAAGAACCTTCCCAATTGTTTTGCCTTTGATAGATAGCTGCCAAAGAGAAAAAGCACAAAAGTGAATTATTCTGGGGGGGCGGTGGTTGTTGTAAAACAACTGTTGACATGATTTCAGAAATCTCCATCAATAAAAAAAAAAGAACCCTAACCAACTAAAAAAAAAAAACAAACAAACCAAAACCTCACAAAAGCCATGAAAGATGAAATAAACTTCTTGAAAATGGCTAACTGAGAAACAGCACAAAACAAACCAGTAATAAGCGCTAGGATAATGCAGCCCACAACTCCTTCACACACACACACACACACACATCCACACACACCCAGACACACACAGAAAAGTAAAAATTTCTTCTGACCTCCATATACTATAATACTCAGCATTCCTGACTTAAAAGCTCTCAGAGCTGTAGATTATATACTGTGTGTATATATATATATGTACATATATTATACATATGTATTTTTCCAAGAATATCTAAATTAAAAGAGCACCTCTGACAATATCTTAACTGCCTGATCGGTGCTGTTGTTTTGCAAAATAATGACATTACAAAAATTATATTTCAAATCAATTCTTGTTTATTATGAACATAATGGAGCTAGCCCTTTCTAACCTTCTCTTCAGGTAAAACAGGCTATCAGTTCTTGAAAACTCACAACCGTGAGATATAAAACTAACCCTCCCTCCCCCTTGCCAGCATAATTTCTGTCCTACTTCCAAATGGCCTTAGTTTATAGAAGCTGATTACCCCAACCTCACTACTTGACAAATGACATGTGAATGGATTCCTGTGTCATATTCCTTCCCTTTTTGGGTCAATATGAATAGCAAAGCATGTGTGGGCAACCCTAGCCAGCCCTGTACTTGGTCTAATACTTTTTCATTATTGTCATTTAAAATTCCCATTAAATAAATTCCGGTCCCTAAATCCTCAGTGCAGCATAAATAAAAATACCTTGCAGATCCCTACACACTTTAAAATAATGTTTCTTTTTGTCAGTGGAACGTTCGTTGCTGATGAGGTCTGGAGTGATACCAGACAAACGGGTAGCACAGTTCTCCCCTCACTGCCACACGAAGCTGGACCAGCCCTGCAGCAGCAGAACCTGCACCAGCCCTGCAGCAGCAGAACCCCAGCTGGCTGCCACCTCAGGCTCCTGGCCACCCAGCTCCCAGGCTCTGTGCCCAGTGACTACCAGCAAGTGCTGTGCACTGGTCGCTGCCCGCTGGGATGGGCTCTCACCTCACGGCCAGCCTCACCCCGGTCCACTGCCAAACCTCAAGTTCTTACAAACTGATGGTTCCCCAGAGGAAGCAGCCCTAATGTAGGTGGGTACAGCCTTGTCTGTGCTTCTGAGAGCTGGAGGAACCTTCCGTGTGCCCGTGTGAATCAGGGCACCATGAGCTGGGTGTTTGACAAGAATAACCCCTGCGTTATCAACGGTTCCACCTCAGCACTACTTCTGAAAAACTGCTGACCACTGTATGGATTTGTATCCTCTGGCTTCAAGAATCTCTAAATTTTTCTAAAAGTATTGCTGAGAATTTAGGGTCTTCTTTAAATCTGCATTGCTAAACTAATATATTCATCTTCCATTAAATAAAAACATGAACATCGATTCTCTATGGCAGATAAAAATAGATCATTTATAAACCCCCTGAAAACTTGTGAAAGTGAATTATTTCATAATTCTGATACTTATGTTCTCTTCTTGAAATACAAACGTAATTTGAATTTATCGATAACTCTAGATTTAACAATAATGCTGTAAGTTTAACCCTGCTCCTTTTAAAGTCTCTTGGAAACTGAATGCTCTCTCAAATGAGAAAACTAGAATTTTTAATACTGCTTAGCTGTTTGAGACTCAACTGCCCAGAGTCTTCCAAATGTTCTTCTTATAACATCACATGGATTGTGTAACCTTTTAGAAGCTCATGTTTGAAATTTATCTTAAAACCAGGTAAGAGTGAATGGGAAGAAAATATATTCACTATACTTTGCTAGGCGAGGCATTAGTACAGACCAGAGTCTTTTTCCTGCGTCTCTGTCTATAAAATTTTGACCAGAAGCCCAAAATAAAATTACTCCATCAAATGACTCAGGTTAATATTTCAAGAGACAGGCTTCAGAGGGCCAGTAAACAAACTCCACATGATTCTTTTTGACAAATTCTTTTTGACAATTTCTCAACATTATTTTTGGTTCTTTTTGAGCATGATTTTTTTTGAAGTCCTAATACTTAGTATAGAGTTTTTTTTCAAACATGAACTATCTTTTTAACCATGTAAATCTGGGAAAGGTCATATCTCCTCAGTGCACACAAAAAATTGGATCTTGCAAACATCTGAGGCACATGAGTCATTTCACTTACAGGAATAAATTACTAAGTAAATCTGACCCTTTACACGAAAAAAATTCCTCTGAATAAATTAAGAATTTAGCTAGCCTGACCAGATTCAAATAATTAACATTGTCCCTTGCAAAGCAGAAGTTGGAATATTTGTGTTCGAAGTCCTCTTTAGTATTTGAGGTTGTCCTGTTAGTTGTCATACTGCAATTTAATTTACGTATGGAAGGCAGCCTCAAAGTTTGAAAAAGAATCCAGCAAACCAGGCTGATGTTTCCATTGAGTACAATAATTTCCATTACATAAGCCAGGGGTAGGGAAATGGAAATAACCTCACTGCTTGAGAGGACTTCGGACACAGACAACACAGTCATCAGGGAATATGTCTGTGGAATTGGCCATGCTTCAACTGCTTAGTTGTTCTGCATGCAGACAGGCAGTGCTTACCTGTGTTACCCTTGCTTACCAAGTAACTGTTTTCAAAACACCAACACTGTACCTTTTTTGACTCTGAATTCCTTCCCCATCCAATTATCACCTCCCAACCAATATCCTATGCAGTTGGTATTTGCCTTTCGTGCATTCAGAATGCTGAACGCGCTCGCACACGGGAGCTTTGAGAAGCAACAACTGACCAGTGAAGCTCATTTCAATGCTTCTGAGGTATGGAGAAGTTTTTACTAGTCCAGGAGGGCTTAATACAGATTAGAAACCCAACCCCCTCCTGGGCTAGTTTGAAAAAGGGATGTTATCTCCACACCAGGGACGTGACTGCCTCTCGTTTGGCGTGCCGCTTAGCCGTGTATTGTTATAGTTCATAACAAATATGTGAAACCAATTTGGCAACCATTGCTTCTTCATTGCACCACGCATGCTCCACAGGTCTCTGCACCAAGAGGCTGGGGTGGCTCTGTCTCTAAGGCAATGGGAAGAGCTCAGCATAAATTCTTGAAATTCTTACAAAAGGACCCTCCCCACAGTAACTTCCCAAGCGACCACTGCTACTCCCTGAAGAGGAGGGGGAGACGAGAGAGAAGCCTGTTCTTCTTCACACTGAGATTGATGATGAAAATAATCTTGTAGGGGGAGAAGTGGAGGCAAGTACTTGAACATTCACAGTTTGATGCAAAGCACAGATGAAGTATATTCTGTAGTTGCTTCAGGCAGTTTTGCGCATAGAAAAAAAGAAATGTTTAGAAAATAAAAAGTTTACTTTGTCTTTCTGGGTACAGCCAGAACCAGTCTCTATCCCACCTGGACAAGTGAAAATGGGAATCCAAAATTAATCTGATTTGTGGCAGTAGAGGTCCTTAAGTGCTTTCAACTCCTCAATCAGTGTCTTGTTTTGGTTTTCAAGCACAGCCACTCGATTTTCTAGACATTTCACATACTCCTTTTTCTTCCTGCGACATTCACGTGCTGCCTCTCTGCAAAGCAAAGCAAAGGCCATTCAAATCCACAAGGATCACTTCCAGACATGGGCTACTTAACTGCTCACATCAAACCTTTACCTAGCACTGCCATTTTTTAGAACACAGAGGTATTGTTAAGAAGTGCAAGTTAGGAAAAAAGTGCTGAGTCCGTAGCAATAGTTCCTCACAAATCACACACACTCTGATGATCCACAGATCACTTCAACACGCAGATCCCAGTAATCCAGCACCAGTAAAATTCTGCTGCTGTGAGGAAAAGATCCTAGACAATGGCAAAACTCTGCTTGCAGGATTTACAGCACAGCCTTTAGGCTGAGTTGAATGCTGCTGCTGCAGTGATTTCACTGATTTTATTATAATAAATAGACAAGTATTAAAAACATGGATAAGACCAACGTTCATCTGTTAATCTCTTTATAGTCTTAACCCTTCCCTTTGCTGCAGCCCAGCCAATACTAATGGTCAGGATGTTCAAGCAGTGGGAAAAAAAAAGCTGTATTCAGAGCATTCATGTACTTGCTACATAGACTGGTGATACAGTCAGTGTTCTGGAAAATGAAAGGTCAAAACTGAACCCAGTTCTTCCACTTACTAGATAAATAGTAATTGTAGTACCAGGTGGAAAAGAATGTCTGTCCCAGGACCCACCTGGTAAGAAGACTCTAAAAGTAATTTTTTAAGTTCAGCTCCACAAATGAGTCAGGGTGAAGAAAACCTGGTCTGTAAGCCCTGGAAGGACTCACCTATCCATTTGTCACTCCTACAAGTAAAATTTCACCTGCTCACAGCACTTCAGTGGGCCATGTGCAACATTCAGAATGTAAGTCAAGGCAGGCTGTTATTTGTGTCACCAAAAGATTAAGTACTACTGGATCAGAAAGTGTCTCCCAGTGTGAACTACTAACTTGTCTCCTTGGGTGACAACTTTTTCTTTATGTGATTTTTTGTGCCAGCCTGGGCTGTATATTAAGCCACTTCAAGTCTGTGTGCATGTTATTAATTATGAGCAGCTAGAGTTATATACTGTTACAAGAGAGCTTTTAAAATGTAAAATTTACACAGAAAATTTGCACAATAATATCTATGAATATTTAAACTATAATCCTTCAGTAAGTACCACCTCTCCATCTGCCTCTCTCTATCCCTTTCCCCTGCTTTGCTATGCTAGAGTTGCAAATACCTATTAAGCAGGCAGGCTAAAAGAGCTACATGCAACCTGATACTGTGGCAAAAGCTGTCAATTTTACTCAAGTAGGGGTAATTCCCCATTGTTTTTCTTGGCTTTCCCTAAAACAAAAGCTTTCTTTTACTGGAATCAGACTGCTGACTAAATGAGGGTATTCAGAATGCTAATTAAATTTTTCTCAAATGCAGAGCCTGAAAGGGTGACATCCATTCACTGATACCAGAAAAACATATAAAAAGGAGAGATGGGTGACATTCTGTACAAAAACCTATTAAAAAAGTGAACTCTGCTGTTCAGCATTATTTACTTCATTAAAGCCCCTCAGATAAGCATTAGCTCTGCTCATGTAACTTTATACTGTGTTCACAGCTCAGCAATCTACACCAGATAAATGCAGCTGTAGGACATAACAGTTTTTTCAGACTGAGAGATGAAGCAAACAGTGCTTTCATGGGGCTTCCCCTCCTCGGAGGGCTCAAGCTTGCTGGGATGGATCAGCTCAGGCCCAGCCCCAGCCCATCCCACTCCCACAGCAGTAGGCTGAAGGAGCATCATGCCCTCCTTCTCTCTGCTGGTCCCTTCCTTCATTACCTACATAAGCCCCACTCCAGTGGGCTTGGCTATTCCTCCTCACACAGTAACTCCTACAGGGTTGAGTCTCCTCTCTCTCTCAGCCCCTTTGCTGCCAAGATGGGCTCCAAAAGACCTCAAAAGGAGTAGCTGCTAGTTCAGCCTTTCCTTAAGTCTTTCTGCCTTCAGAGGTTAAAACCCATAGGGCAAGCAGCTAAAGAGAATGAGTGAGACAATCAAGAAAGCACTCACAGAGAGAGCAAGTGAGCCAGCAGCACAGAGAATGTGTGCAGAAGGCTAAGGTAAAGAATCCAGGAAAGGAAACCACATGAATGCACTAACTCAAAAAAGTCTGATCACCTTGGTGTTTGTAAGAATGTATCTGCAGTCCTACAAGTCTCTCACCAATGACTTTTCTCCTTATGCTACAAACTCACACACCTCACAGGCTGAGTCTGACCCCTTAAGGTTTCATAGTCACGATAGATGGCATAAGCAGATGTGCTTCTTTGCTTTGCACCTCTAAATAAAGGCAAATCCTTCAGAAAGCATTTCATAAAATGACTAGAAAAAGCTGAGGACTCTTGGTGCTCAGCACTGGAGCCCTCTGCAGAGCTGGCTGGGGACAGGGTGGTCTGAGTGTACGTGCCTGTTCTTCATGAGACGCACTTCCCTCTTGCGCGCGGCCTCCTCTGCGGGCTGGGTGGGCAGTGCTGGGGAGGATGCCATCACCACTCCTGGGGCAATGGTGCTGGTGGGGGCCGTGCGGATCTGGTAGGTCTGCACATCTCCTGAGGCAGCTGAAAGACACACGGGGACATGACAACAGTCTGTGCCAGCACTGGCAAACACCTGGCCGTGTATCCAACCACGCGCTCTGGGCGACCGCCCAGGAGGGACCACCCTCAGCTGGGTCACCACTATCTCAGTCTTGGTTAATTAATGTATGCAAAGCTTTGGACATTTCTGCTGTAGGTATCTTCACTCGTGCTTGATAACTTCATCTGCCTTGCTGTATTGCTGTGCTTCTTTCTCCTTTAGTACATTTCTTTTTACTTCTGTTTTTTTTTTTTGCCAGTTTTAGCACTTTCAAGAAGATGAAGGATGGCAAACAACATTTCTAGCTATGCTCCCAACATCTATCTGCAAAAGGAGAAACTGCACGTGTGTTTGGCACAGAAAAAGAGCATAGAAATGTAGCATTTACTCCAACAAGAAGTGCAAACTAGGCACTCAACTTTGTGACTTCTCTAGAACGAACAAGGTCCGACGTTTCTTGTTTGTTTATAGTTTGTTACATTTGCTCCTGAAAAAAAATACCATGCCCACCTAAAGAAATGACATGTCTCTAAGAACACACAAAACAGATCAGTGCAACAACAGTATTTTTTTCAGCTACATATGCCTGGAGACCTCTCCATGGGGTAACTTCCAAATCACTTGCTTTACAATCATAAAAATAACAGAAAAGTGTATCCTTGCTTTTAAGAAACAATTTTTAATACCCTCCCCATTTTTTTAACAAATCAAAACATGTATTTTAATGCAACAAAAACCTCAGCTTATTTCAAGTTGAAGTAGCTGTGCTTCCTCTAAGAGGTGGGCTAGAGCAAATCATCTCCTGACACACCTTTCTGAATTATTCTAAGATTCAGTGATTAAGTACTGGATGACGAGTTACAAAAGCCACAATAGGAACTTTAATGCTTCACTTAAATTCACTATTGTTGTAGATAATTATGTGGGAGAAGTCAGAACTGTAAAATAGTACCAGTTTTTGCAGAACATATTAAAAAAATAATTGTGTGGCCAAAATAGAGGAAATACAGCATAGGAAACCAAAAATAAATACATTGTTTTAAGAGGTAAATCCAAAATAGCCAAAATTTTATCAATCTGAAGGGAAAGTCTCCAAGAAAATGTGACTAATAGCTTTGTCCAGAGTTTCCTTTAATCATTCTGGAGACTTACCTGTGGCTGTTAATTCTGTTTCCTGACATTTCACAGAGTTAGGTTGGCGACTTGTATCTGCATGGAGAAAATGTTATACAGAATGACTGGCTGGAAGTTTCTCACCTTGTACAACTACTTGGTTGCTGGGTACAAGTATCTGTTGTCCATCTGTGGTCTGTGCATATTGTAAAATGGTGGTGCCTGGTTGGGTTGCAGCTGCATTGGTCATAGTCAATGTCTGGAGACCTTGTACTCCATCTGTGCCATTGTTAGACAACTGGATTGCTCCTCCTTGGGTAATAGCAACTGAAGAAAAAAATTCACACAGCATTTAAGACACTAATGTACTCATTAATTTACAGTATTAAAACTAGAATATGGAAGAATACTGATCTGAGTTAAAGCCCTCAAATCAGACACGTGGCTTTAATGTACACTGAAGAAATCATGCTCTGAAAATAAGTTCTGAATTTTTTTGTGCAACCCATATTTTTAGGGGTGGCAAAAACCACAGCCTAAACCCCAAATTAGTTTCTCTGATAAAACACACAGGACCTCCCAATCTCTACAGTCCTCCCTCAGGAAATACTTTTAATTTGTTAGTTAAGTTGTTGTTCTTGGTTGGTTTGGGTCTTTTCCTCAGTCCTTTCTTTTTCCTTCTCATCTGAAATTCCCCTCCTCCTTCCATGCTTTATGCCCTTCAGTCTCCTCTGCTGCTACTGCTATCCACCTTGTGTTTCACTTTCTTCTTGCCTTGGCTTGTTTTTTTCCTTCTGATTGTGTCCTCCCTTCTCTACAACTTCCTCACACCTTCCTAGCAGTGTTTTTATTCATAAAGGTCCAGTTTCATACTATTCTTTTTCTGTCAAGCAGTCTTACTTTGCTGGTTTTTTTCCCCTTTCTTCCCCTGAATCCTGCCATGCAGCTGTACTGAGACATCACCCCTCATTCATGATTCCACAGAATTTCTCTGTGTTCCTGTATACAGACCCAGCAAAACCTCAAGTATCTGCACAAGCAGGTATTTTACAGCTAGGATAGGAAAGCAGAGTTAACCACATCAGCTTCTATAAAATTAAGTAGGCTATTAGGCCAAGTGGCTAAGGACTAAAGAGAGATACAAAATTTTAAAGAGATTTTAAGATGTAACCAAGTAGTTTTTTCCCCTTTTGTATATTTAATGTTGTGTTTGTTTGAGACAGCATGTAAATACTAGTTTTACTGCTGCAGTCTCAATCCTTTAAGTCAAAGCACTGTATCTATAAACTCTAACAAATAAAGAAAACACAGGAACTTGTATGTTACACATTTTAAAGGCTGCTTAAGTTCTCATTTTTTCAGGACTTTCTAAAAATGTAATTGCAAACTGTAATGTTTTTCTGTTTATGAGGTTATACTTTTGTGAACCAGTATTAGTAATCTGCCAGGAAAAAAAGGAAACTTCTGAATTACCTCCTGTGGGTCCTGAAGTGAGAAAGTTTATTATAGCACTGTGGTTAGTTCATAGTTTGCCTCAGGATGCATTAGCTGCACTAACTAACGAGCAGTCCCAAAATGTGAATTGAACACTTCAGATACTTACAACAGGAATGTGTTTAAAAGGCATGGTTATCAAACAATCAAATTAAAGTCAACTTATTTTCACCTCCTGCTTTGTCCCAGTCCAAACAGCTATAGAAATAATAGTTCTTCATCTTCTCATTCCCACTTACTAGCACCACTGAGAAATTCAGACTACATACTGTACTGCCCACTGCTGGTTTGGTAAATGGGAGTTGGCACCGTAACAGTGGCGATGGCAGGTGCTGCTGTTTCCTCTTCAGACTTCTCTTCTTCAATCCTTGGCACTCCTGGGGCGTCTGAGGACAAGTCATTCAAAATTTTTCTGGCAAAGACAGTGTGTTGTAGAGATTTTAATAAAAATCGTGGGGAAAAAAAAAAGTCTATTTGATACATAATGCTGGAGAAAACTGCAAAGTGCAGTAAGCCAGCAAAATATGGGTGCAGAACAAAACACCTGCACTATCTTCACACTGTTATTGGAGAGGATTGTTCAAAGTGCCACACCAGGATAGGCAGCACAGAGCTGGCTGTGCTTACCAAGATACTGGTGCTTCTCAACAAGTTCTTCTCAACCCAAGATACAGCTGTCCCAAACTGCCCTAAAACAGGTTTCCCTCTCATTCATTTTTACTGCTTCCTGTATGTAAAAACCTGTCTCTCAACTTTCATTAAGGAACTGTGTTTCAGAGGCTGTGAAGGCCTCAGCCAGAGAGCTGAGCATAAAGGAAATTAGGAGAAATGGTTGTAAAGAGCAACCAGTTTATAATGTCACACCTGTCTAGAAGACAATAGCAGTGTTTGAGTGAAGTCACAGTTACATTTATGGGTGCCCTGTCTGAGAAAGCTGTGAGATTAGCATAGGTAAAGGAAAATAAAACAATTTGTTTATTTACTTCCATGGGTTAATTATCCAAAGCCCAAACTGCTAAAACACTACTGCTATAGGTCCCCACTGAACATGACTGTAGACTGAACACAGCAGTTACTGCAATCTGCATCATTTAGAACAAACACTGTCCCTAAATAAGGCTCCTAAGGCTTCTGGAGCCAGAACATCTGTATGGAGCTATTTGGGGAGAGTGGTCACTCTGCTAAGCAACTTGCCTAAAAGAGCTTTGCTGTTGGTGTTTGGACTGTCTGTACATGCAAGAACCTCAGCACTGCACAAGCACCCAACTGTGCCAAGCCCCACTTGGACAAATAAAAAATTCCCATCCAGACAGTTTGCAATCTAGGTGTTGCACCAGAAAATCTACTGGACAAAACAGATGAAAAAATAAGGAGAGAGCAGGGAGGATGAGGAACAAAACCTTAGAAACTCAAAATAGACAAGAAGCTGCTACAGCTCACCACTTTTTAAGCTCATGTCAGATATGATCCAGTGATTAAAACTTCCCTTTGCCATCACAGAGATAGATTTAAGATAGAAGGTAAGGTGGCACCTTTACAAATACAGGAGCTATGAACTCACATGGGGAATACATAATGTACTTCAGTAACAGGATCAAAGGGGATTTTCTGAGGAAGAGGTAGAGCTTTCAATTCTGTGAACCTGTCTGCACCTATCTTGTCCCTGGGGCCAGGCAGAGCAGCTTGAATAATGCCAAGCAGCAACTCCCCAACCCCAGCAGTAGTGTGGCTCAGCCCTTCTGGCATGACCCCCACACCAACCTGACCCCTATCCCTGCCCAGAGCCTGAGCTGCCTATACAAGTTTTACAATTACAAAGTATTGCTGAGTCACCAGGAACTGGTTTGAGGAGAGAGGCTGGGGTGTGGCATCAATGTGTCCATCTCAACGGGACATCAGCATCCACAAGTACCCTCTTCTCAGTTTTGCCTGCTTGTTCACTTAACTCTTTTGTCTGACAGTGTATAGCCATTCTTCCATGTGTAGTAAAAGCAAGTGTCTCACTGCAGAAGAGGACTGCAAGGAAGTCTGTGGCAGCTTTGAAGTGAGCAACACTGCTCCTCACAAATACAGTATTTTCCTAGATCTATCATGGCTAGGCATATTCAGCAATAGTTTTCACTGCCATCAGCAGAACAGCCTTAACAGCTGTTGGAGAAGGTAGAAAATAATCTGCAAGTGCTGAAAAGAAAAAATAGTTGAGATATGCTCAGGCCTAGAGTCTAGCTTGTATTTCTAAGGTTATGCTCATAAAGAAGAAAAGGAGCACCTGAATTTTCTGAAGCAGCAAGAATCCACAAGCCACTTAAAACCTGCTGAATTTTGCTGAACTCCAGAGTTATTAATTTATGCTATTTAGCATGTTTTAAGAATGAAAAGTGAGATTTAGCACAGAAAAAAAAAGCTGTGCAAGACCTTAATTAATAAAGTAACCTATGACTAATGCTGTGTAAAGGAGCACCTCAGCTGGCCTCACCGCAGAAGTATTCACCATGACAACTGAAGACACCAGATGCCTATCATTACATTCAACTCCATACCCTGACTTCTTAAACTTCAAACACAACCAATTTTGCTCAAGCAGATATTCTGTCTGAGCCACAGAACACCACATGTTCATTGAAAGTCTCATGGGAGAAAGGAATTAAGTTTGATTGCTGCCAGCTTTTCAACAACCACAAAAAACAATACAGTTTATTTTTTGCAGACTAGATTATACAGAAGCCATTGTCCTACAAACCTTCAGTGTATTTCATGTGTTAAATATCCATTACCTCTCTCTCTTGAGGCACCAAGCACAAGGACACCTCAATGTTTTACAAATGTGGCAATTAGCTTGCTCTCAGCTCATTTCTGTCTTAACCAGTCTAACAGCTGAGGTTTCTTCCTCCTCCTATCTGCTTCTCTCTTTACATTCCATTCCATAGAAAGACATCACACAAGAGAGACTTCAGTTTGGTAAATGCAAAAATAACCATACAACCACACTGTTTGTCTCCCCATGTGCAGAATGTATCCATCAAGCAAAATGCTTCTGCTTTTAAGCTCCATACCTGTAGGAGGGTCGTCTGGAAAGAATTTCTCTTCGTTTCTGTGAGTCTGTGACACTGTCTACTGATTCCTGTGAATCTTCACTTTCTGCTATAGTGGAGATCTGTAAATAAGAACAGCAATCAAACTTCAACAGGACACTTCCAGTGCCTTTATTTTAAGGAAATGCTGACACCCTGTGAGAAACACTACAACATAAGTATCCTACAGTGCTTCTACCTAGGCAACGAACAGAAATGGCTGGATGTTGAAGTAACAGATCCAGTGCAGAATGACCACAGTTATCTACCCATAAGAGTGCCCCTTATCATTTAAATACTCCAATAAGAAAACATAAACTGTAATTCCATACACTTCTTGCTTCCCATGGTTCTTTGCTTCCATCCATTTTAAAGGAAACAAAGATTTTTTTAGTAAAATTTAGGGAAAGAATAACTAGAGCCAACTTAAAATAGCAGAAACGTTCAGAAACAAAGAGCAAAACACTGCAGTTGAGAAACTTCAGTTTATAAGTAATTGGTATGTTATAGAGGCTGCCTTGGGGGGGAGATTGTCAGGAAAATGTCATAGGTGAAGATGCTAAAAAATAATGCACTGCTGCAGCTCTGAACATCTGTGCTAAAAAAAGGAGAAAGGTTTGTGATGGAAGGCTAAAATGTTTCTGTCAATCATATTTCAATCATTTTAAATTCCAAGTATGCCAAAAATGCAAAAACATCTCCAATACATAAAAAGAGAGACTGTTTTCCAAAAGGCTGTAGTCAGAAATACACAAAAGGTACTGACAGAGAATAGAGCAATGCCTGTGTGAGAAACACAGCTCACAGCCTGACATGTTATGCACTGTAGGAAAGATTCCTCAAGGCTCCAAAATCTTCCTGGTGCCCAAATCTCAACAGCTATCAGAGAGTGAGCCTGAGCAGGTCCCAGGCTGACTGTGAAGCGCTGGGCTTTAAATATCCTAACAGGCTGGCTCTGCACTGAGCCAGGTGAATTCCAAGCATAGTTTCATTGTCAGTCTCTTATCTTCCATCTCTGGGCTAGTAACTTGTGCACTTATCTGAAAACTGCTCACCTCGATAGATTAAAACTCTAAACTTTTGACTCCAACGGCTGAGGAGGGTAGAGCCTGCCAGAAACTCAGCACTAAAGCTGACAAAGAGTAAACAAAGATTATTATCAGAATGGCCTAGTTTTAAATTATGCACACCTTATTATTTTTTAAAACAATACCCAGCTAAGTATCTGTATCAAATAGTTACAATGTCTACTTCTAAAAATCAAACATTTTTTGAGTTCAGTGTAATAACAGCAAAGGAATGATGTCTGGTCCTTGCCTTAGGTAGCTGCTGTACACTAAGCAATTTCTCTCTCTGTATTCAGGAACACTGAGCTTACAGTGGTTCCAAACCCAAAAAAAGTTACAGGTTTTAAAGATTTCAGACTACTTGTCCCCTGTGTCTTCAAGCTACCTCATCATATGGCATTATCTGTCTTGCTTTACAGAAGAGAAAATGCTAAGGCTTTACAGAGCAAACATTCAATGAGCAAATTTTAAAAACATTTTAATGAGAGGACTGATAGATTTATTCTAAGGACACAGACTCTGCTTTGTAAACCAATGCAAATATTTTCTAAGTACCAAAGACCCTCATCCCAGACTATCAGCCTCACGAATGATTAAAGATTACGTTATTTAAAACAATATTTTTTTGTTTACTTCAGAATAGTATGAACTGAATAAAGATTATGAAAATACAGTAGAGAGAAAAGGTACAGTAATACTGTAAGAAAAATAATGAAGCTGTTAAACTCACCAACCAAATTCTAGAGAGAAATGAAACTCAGCTATGTTTGAAAGTGAAAAGTGGTTAGACCAGAAGAAAGTCGTAGAGTAGTGAATACTATGCAGATGTTGCCTTCCACATGCTCTTAAAAGTTTATATAAGCAAAAACACAATCCAGGGCACAAACACCTTAGAAACCTGTGAACTGGCAGGACTGTTCAAAAGGCCCAATTCGTGTATTAGGAATTTCTTCAGGCAGTACCTGAACTGTCTGGACCTGTGGAGACTGAATGACTGAGGGCTGGGCAGCCTGAATGACTCCGTGCACTTGGACCGTCTGCCCGTTGGGCAGCTGGACTAAGGTCACTGTGGGCGCAGAGGAGGTGGCGTGAGCTGCTGGCATGGACACCTGCAGAGAAGAAACAGCAGGCACAAATTAGGGTATTGCAAAACCTTCTGATTCCACTACCAAAAACGCTTTTTGGTGAAAGAATGATGCCTCTTCTAGACCCCAGTTAGATGACCCAAATGTTTCGGTGTAATATAAAACCCCCTGAACTGCCTAAGCCAAACATCTGACCTACTTTTACAAATTAATCTAATGCAGAAATTCTGCAGGCTCAAAACATCGCCTGTAAACCCACTGACAAGCATGAGGAAAACATAACTGCCTCCATTTTGAGGTAACCTAATAAAACCACACTATTACCTTTTGCTTACTTCAGTTAGACATTGCTAGGACTTGGGTGTTACTCCTACAGACACTGCTGAGTCAAAGGCAAAGACATATGGGAGGGGAGCTATTTTTGTTCTCACTGAAGAAAATGCAAATGTTTGCCAGATGTAAGCAGTCAGAATTTTCAGGGACTCATACCTTTCAGACTTTCTAGAGGCTAAACTATATTGAGCAGCTGGCAAAGTCCACTTAAATGAGGAAAACTGACATGTGTTCAGACAGAAACCCCACGGGTTTGCAGTGGAAACAAATGGTCTGTAGGCAGTTACTGTGATTCAGTGTAACGGGTCAACACAAACTGTAGTCTTAAGAGTTATTTCTACGAGGAAAATCTGCCAGCATTTTAAACCTCAGTTCCTAAACACAACTTTGCTTCTCCAGCAGGGGCCTGCAGGCCCAGTGGCCACGCCAGCAGGGAGGTGGTCAGTGCTGCATGTGCAGCCAGGCGCGTCCTGCGCAGGGCTCGGCTCTGAGCACTGGTACCCCCCCAGAGCTGGCCACAGCAAGCAGGGAAGTCACTCTAGCAGGTCACAGGAACTGCAATGGGTGGCTGAAGGGCCATGGGCTGGAGTTGCCAAGCAGATGCCCTGGTGTGCATCCAGTACTGCAGCAACTGTGTGGGGACACAATGCACGTGTTCACGGCTGGGGGACACAGCTGCTCTACCAGCGCACGAGGCCCTCGCTCTGTGCCTGACTCCTGCCACCATAGCCCTCAGGGCAGGGCTGCAGGCAAGCAGGAGCTGCTCTGGCAAGCCACAGCCACGTCATGGGTCAATGACTAGCCAGCCCTCTTCTAGACATCCCAGTTTGGAAAACTGAACAATCCTTCAGTATTTAACAGTGCTTTGAAGAAATCTGCCCGTGTAGCTACAAGGTGAGGAGGGGCTGCACTGCTCTCCTACCCATCTCAAAGAGTTGCTGTGTACCAGAGGCAGAAGTAAATCCTCTGCAGCCCCCATAACACGTGGTTCTCAAAAAGCTGCACTAGCTGAACTCTGAATTTCCATAAACATCCACCACTTACAAGGCAATCTTGCTTAACAACAATATTAAAAAGGGAATTACATGTAGACCTCTTTCCTCCACAGCTGTCTCTCTCTAATCCACAAATTTGTGTTTGCCTTCAGTTCACTTTTGCAGGAAAGCAGCTGCAGCATTCTATGTTGGTTACTTAACTCACATCTGAGAGAAACCCGGGCTGAGATTAACATGAGTGCACTTTTCTCTGGCAAATTATATTCCTCTACCAAGTGACCTTTTTTAATAACTCATGTGTGTGACTAAACTGTCCTTGGCAATGGCAGCAAAGCTGATCGACTGGAGGCCATTCTGTGGTTGGACTAAGCCAACAGCAGAGTGTGACTTCCGCAGATGTCTCTGACTCATACCTTGTGGAACTGGAACGAGTTTCCTTTTGACTCTGAAAACGACCCGGAACTCACTAAAAACGCAGCTATTAAACTAAGCTTACAAGAGGGGTGACCTTACAAGAGATAATGAAAGAATTAAATTGACATAATTAGTTATTTAGGTTTGCCTAAGCCTCTGAGGGCACTCCCTAATGCCAAACACTGGCACTTCACGTATTAAAAATATCGTAGTGATGTAACACTGATGTGAGCAAGTCAAGGAGTTATGTTTCGACTGCTGTAACACCTCCAGGAGGAATATAAAGCCTGGGGAAAAGCTAAGGTGCATATAATACACTGAATGACAACAGAGCAAAATTAGGAAAAACATATTTCTTTGCATTTCACATGGATCTTAACTATAGCTGTATAGCTTCTTCTTGCTTGGAAAAGAAATCACATTCAACTAGTGTGGTGATCTTGCCCAAATAACGTGCATTCAACCCACGACATACTTGTAAGGTCAGCTACCTGGGGGCTAGCATGTTAGCACACAAATTTAAAACATTCTCTGTTCTCTGGGCTGAATCTTGATGCATACCAAGTGAGAAGCAGTTTACTGGTTTTGCAAGAGAAATAAACCACTTCCACTCGGTTCACTCTGAAGTGTTATTCACACCACCTACACCCTGCGCCTAAGTTAGACAGTGAGAAAACTGCCCAAAGAGGCAAGCTGGTGCAGGGCAGCTGGTGGCCTGTAAATTCACACTTCTGCTCCACTCAACAAACCCACCCTGTGCATTTTAACAGCTCCAGTCCCTACACTATCACTTGAATGGAAGTGTACTATCGCTGGTTTACCAAAAGGTGTAATGACTTTAAAAAGACATTAATAATTTATTAAGTGATTTAACAGTTGTGCCACTTAAAAGACACTCAATTCCCCAAACTATGAGATCTAAAACCTCTGTTTGTTCTTGGCAGACTGCAAATAGTTGTAAAACTAAATGGTTACAGAAGAGAGACAATCAGATTCTGTGCTTATTTACACAATGGAGTTGCTTCTGCCAATATCCAAGAATGAAACCAGGATCCAACATCAGAGATGTAGCTGGGATTCCATTTCTTGTCTCTCCAAAATAATTTGGGGATAATGAATGATCTACTACTGTCTCTTCAAACAGCCAACAATTCTGTGAAATTCTGGAGACAACAGGGTAGCATGAACTATCAAATGCCATGTTGTTCCACTTGATGTTTATAATACTAATCCCATCTGATAAGATGTTGTATTTGCTGCATTATTTATCTATATTTTCAGTTTGTTTTCCTCAAAATTAAACTGACTGCTATAGACAAGCTTCTAACAGAAGATGTTAACAGTAAAACAATCCAGTCAATATATAAGACAGTAAATTACACGTTTTTCTTAAAAAATATTTTTCAGTGGTATGGTTGTGGTAAAGAATGCTAGAAATATTTTCATTCATTATTCTGTTAACATTACACAGTTTACACACATACAGTTCTTCAGAACTAACACAGCCTAGTGTGATGGGAAGTTAAAAACCTCTACTGCTTTAAAAATGCAAAGACAAGTATTAAAGGAACTAGACACAGCACCTGCTTCAGAATCGTATCAATGGAGCCTTCTCTCAGGCCCACAAGCAGACATTATCCCTCTTAAAAAAAAATTACCCAATAGGTAAAACTATTACATGGTATGATTTTATACCTGGGCTAACGTTGCAATCTGTGGTTGTGCCTGTACTGTCATCTGTTGGGTTTCTGCCTCTGTAACGGCTGCATCTCCACTCTGCTGGTTCTCTGCTCCAGATTCCATGGTCATTTAGTTACCTACAATCACAATATTTGTTGTAAGTCTGGGTTGGTATGCAAATCCATTACTCTTGGTGGATCTGGTAGCAATCACTGCAGCTGAATTCCCATTACTACATACTGGTTTTATTTGTTTACTAAAGTGTTGCCAAACTATCAGCATTCAGGCAAAATTTTTTCGTGCCAGGTGTCTGCCTCAGGTGGATTTTTCTGTGTATAATGTTTATGAAAAACAGGTCCAGTCTCCTCCAATAATGAGATCAGAAAAAATGTTGTTTTGCTCATCTTAAAAAAATGGCTTGAGCAGTTGCAGTGTGATGATCTAGTACCTCTGCAATTCAGAATAACGACCAGTCTGTCAGGAAGGGCAGTCCCACAGTGCCCAGGTGACAATATGCCCTCCTGCAGCCCTCCCTCTACCCCACAACTCCAGTCTGGATAAACCCAGCAGCAACTGCTGCTCTCTTGGGCACTTAGTTTTCAGTCTTCTTCTGTCTGAACTAAATAGGCAACATCTCCATGCAAATTCTTTCCACAACCAGACTGTGTATAGCCCTATGTCACAGCAACAGTTTTTTCTACTTGGTAGTTTTAAAAATACATAAAGATGGAATCCATTTCTACTTGAACCTTACTGCAAGTAAATATTTTCTAAGCAATAACTGTGCAAGCCTAGATCACCAAAACACACAACTCCTTAAAGAGGTTGCATAACCAGGCATGTAAGCAGAGTGCAATGAATACTGAATTATGCACTGATCTGTGAAAATTACTCTTCAGTTCTTCTTTAAATATTGATATGAAAATATTTAACATATAAAAAAGAGCTTCAAACTACAAGGAAGTGCTCCCAGTGGTGACACAGCAATACCACTGTATTGCACAGAACTCCAAACACCAAATATTGAGAATGGATATTGCCTCCATAGCCACCATCCTAATCCTGTGTACTGCCCTGTGCTCATCTGCTCAGGCCTCTGGCCAGCCTAAGGCAGCACACCTCTCTTCAGAGCTGGAGCAAAGCCACCCTGCTGCTTTGGCAAAGGGCCTGGAGGCAGAGGATGCTCAGATCAGAAGGGTGGAAAGGAGAAATGCCCCTCTCCTTCCTCAACTTCACTGGCTCCCAGAGGAAAAGACTTGGAAGAGTCAATAGAGGTGGTAGTACCATGAACACATTCAAGAAATTCCATTTTAAACACAAAGTCAAGAAAACCTCAATTTCAATGAAGACTATACTTCAGTATTACAAGAAAGAGAATACTTCTTTGGAGATGTGTTGCCTAAAGCAGTAGAGTCACACTTCAAGCCGAGTACAGTGTGAAATGTCTGTCTTAAAGTAAACAACTGCTCATCAACTAAGATAAAACAGCATTTCAAAGTAGTACCTGCAAGTCAATGTACATAAATCAAATTCTGTATGTTTAGTATTGAAAGTGACTGTTCAAAAGAGCTTCTGTGTGAACATTGATTATGTTGAAGTACCAAATATTTAGTTTCATGTCAGCTTAAAAACTCTCAGGAAATCAAAAGAAGGAAAAGAAAGAAACCTGATTTTCCTTAAAAACAAACAATGAAAGAAAAGTTACAAATCGTTGGAAAAGGCAAATTAAATTCTTCTAAGCACCTTGTTATGCCTCTCCCCACTGCCACTATTTTTGTCCCACAAATTAGTCTGCCAAATGCTCACAGATAAATAATACTCTTATCTACTAGCAAACTGGCCATGAAAAAAATTAATTGTAAACCCACTGCATTTTAAGTAGTTTAGATGGTTTTTTTAGACTTTTTTTTTTTTGAGTATTCTGCATTTTCCAAAATGCTTAACTATAAACCACACTATCACAAGTTTCCCTTTTATTTTTATCATTTTTAAGGAGGTCTCCAGTTTTATCACTTTTTTTTTTGGTGAGTTATCAGCTAGTTTGTCCAAGGTAAACAAATCAACAACTTTTTCCCAATTCATGTATCCAGGTAACTCCAGCCAAAATCAGGCTGACTACCTCATCAGAACCAGTTTGCATCAGCAACATCTCTCACCCAAGTATCTGAGAAAAACTTTAAAAAACAATTTCCCAGCTACAAATCCAAGTATGTTTCAGAACTAGTAATGCTTTTGTTTGCTGACAGAATATGTGGCTCCAGCACGGATTCAATTGCTGTATAAAAGGGACTGGAAATAGCTGAAATGTGCATGTGAAGAGTCTCTTGAATGAGGTATTTACAGTTGTTCACAAAGGCAGATGTTGCCGAATTCCTGATGATGAAAGCAATGTTTTCCTAGGAAGAATTTCCCATCTTTTAACATGCTTTTCAGCAAAGGACCTGTTTTTACAAGGCTGGCCTCCACACTTGCATCACCTTTTGCAGCACAATTTTTTTGCACATGTAATCAGCAAAAGCATTAACTGTTTGAGGTACTCTTTCTACCAACATCAACATTTCAAAAATCAAATTCTTAATATGACTTGCAAACACTTGAAAGGAACCTCCTCACAGCATACAGTAAGTACTGAGCAATGCAGGAAACTGCCTCCAAGATTTACAGCTTGACACATAAACAGTTTGAGTTTCCAGTGGGACTCAGGTTTTGGACAAGGTCTTACGTCTCCTGTTACTGGCAGGTTCTAAGAAATCTTGAATTTGGTTCAATTTACCTTGCAATTATACACCCCAAGATTTGTATTCTAACATCTTCACTACGACCTTTTAGAGTAACTTGTGACAAAAAGAAGGAACCAGATTTTTGAGCATCACCACATCGTATGTCCAAGACCAAGCACCTAGAACACAAATATTAAGTTAGGTGTCTGGATAAGACCATGATGGCTGAAATTAAGGTTGTTGATTCCTGTTAGCTCTTGCAATTTACAATGTGGTAAATGAAATGAGGCTTGGTTTGAAAACTTCAACCTTCCCACACATACAAATGAATGCCAATCTTGACACTCTCTTTTGAAGCTCTCCTATACCCCTAGTCTAGACAAGCATTGCTGACCAGCACCCACCCCAATGTCCTTCTGTTCTTGAGGGTGCTGAGGCTCACCCTGCCACCCCATTCCTCCTCCTACTGCCCCATTCCCTGTGGCCCACCCTTCTCTCTGGCACTGATTTCCCTGGCAGCCACCACATGGCAACTTCTCAAACAGAGGCAGGGATCTAAAAGTGTCCTGGTGGGGAACAAGTGTCTGGGGCAGGGAAGGCACATGTGAGCAGAGGGGGCACACCCCATTTCCCCCTGCTTCCAGGCAACTTTCCATCTTGTCATGAGAGGACTCACCCCCTCACTTTGAGAAAAAAAATTAGTAATTGCTGCAGTTAACCTTGGACTAAGCAGTCTAAAGGAAACTAACTGAAGAAACAGTTAGCTTTTAACAATCAGAGTTGGAAAACCAGAGTCTGCCTGCCTAAAATACCCTGGCTATGAACTCTGAACACAGGTTAAGAAAGCTGATGAGATTACCTGGTTAGAGATGGTTTAACTTGTTAATTTTATGTAATACATAATTTTCTGTATTAGTTGAAAAAAATCTCGTATTATACTTACTAATGCTTCCCTAATAATATACTTATTAACGATCACTAATGATCTGAAACTCCAGGGGTGAAGAGCCAGACATTTGGTTAACACCCAGTAATTTGTTTTAGCCAAATCGGGACTGGGAGAAAGATGTTCAGCAAAAGGCAATTAACTAACTGCACTAGCTGAATTCACACAGACAGCAGAAGATGAGTGCTAATAATCACAAGCAGTTGCATGATGCAGGGAAACTGAACTACACACACTGTAGAAAGAATCCAAATAAACCTGCCTTGTTAGCTGAGTAAACCTGGAAAGGTGGCCTGGGCACTACAGCAGATGGGTCACTTCAGAGTTCTGCTCAACACACATCTCTGACAAGAAAAGATGAAGTGGTGGACTGCAGCAGTAGTATGAGACAGAAAAACCTTTAAAATGTGTATTTCCACAGATGGACCCTATACATCAGCTGGATTACAGTGCAGAGGTTGGGAGCCTATCTTAAAAATGGGTTCTGTGGAATTTGAGTGTCCAGAAAAAACAAGTATTTGGAGCAATGAAAAGCCTGTATGAAGAGACTGGATAGAATTGTATTATTTACCCCAGAAAGGAGAGAAATGCTCCAAACACTAAAAAATATATTTAAATTAGTAACAGGGTAAGTAAACTAGAAATATTCACTGTCTGATTATAAGAACAGCAAAGTTAAAAGGTGGCAAATTTACAAGGATAAAAATGAGAATTTATTATCTATTAGAAAATCAGAAAACTGATACTCCATGTACTGCACAGACAGAGCACTGATGCTGCTGACAGTTAAGCAGTTTATCAGGATTCAAACAGGGGTTAGACATGCACACAGATAACAAGAATGTCCAGAATTAGTATGGTTGTTTCAAAGCAAAAAAAAAAAACCCAAAAGAACTGAAAGGTAGATAAACCCGGACGAGCCAGGACTTATATCAACCTCCAGCCCTTAAAAATTCAAAACAATATTTCATGAGGGGGGGAAGATTATGTCATGTATTTCTTGCAGGTTCCAATAGGCTTTTGAGCTACCCACTGATTTTCAGTATCTTAAAGACAGGAAACTGAACTAGGTCCAGTACATGTAATGGTAACTCCTGTAATCTGTTACAGTGAACATCCAAGCTGTGTGTTCAGAGCATGAACAGTTACCTCCCCTCCACCTGCTTACAGAGCCACAAAGATACACTTTGCCTTCCCACACCTTTCCTACCATCTTCCACCCATTGCTACGTCTGTGGTCTCCCTGCAATATCTTGCTCTCTTACTTCTTTTTCTATCTCCTATCCCAAATATCCCCATGAACTCCAGCAAGTCTCCTGAATGTTAGGCTCTGCTCCTTGGCTTCTCCTTGCTCACATGAGCCATAGAGCTTTTCTGCTCTGCACATGAGGCTGATTTTCATCTCCCAGGATGGATTGAAGAAAAACGGTGGAGGTCCTTTTCAAACTCCACTAAATCCAAGAATTAAAATA